TTCCGCTGTGGACCCATTAAACGGTTACGCTGTGACAAACAAACAGAAAAAGTTTCCTTTATTCCTCGCCACAAAGTAACTTTTGTGAGTGTTTAAAAGTGAGCGATTTTAACACAAAACGATCTGCTTAACACGTATTGCTGCTTCTTTCAGTGCTAATTGCCTTGTGTATTTTAATGTTAAAATGGGAAAACACTCACCTGTTCTTTCTTTCTTTCATTTTTCTTGTTTTAGGGACACGTGGAGGAGTAGACGGAGGAGTAGATGTGGAGAATGTTCAAGCTTCTGAAGAAAACCTTTGTTCATTTACACATTTATAAACCTGTTTTTGTTATTTGTGCTTTCTCTATAGGCCTATCTATAATAAACGAACTGAATTAATAAAATTCGAGTCTTTCATATGTCATTGAAAAGGTCTCTTATATAGTTTTGTGCAAATGAGGACGTTAAATTAGCGACGTCCACCCATATTGATTAAATAATTAAAATGAGGAACTGGTTACCAACACACGACTATGGATCCACGAGGTCGCTGTTACTTACTGGACACGTCACAAAGTTACGTTGCGGCGACGTATACGTAGGGCTGGACAATAATTCAATATCAATATGTATCGCGATATAATTTTTTTCAATAACGGTGATATGATTTTTAAACACATTTCCGATATTTCGATATACATTACCAGTGTTTCCCATACATTGATTTATTTGTGGCGTTTGACTTCGTTGAATAAACATGAGCACTGCACGTTACAAAATCATAACACGGCGCGGGTGTTTTATATGAATGTATCTCTGAAGGGAACCGACTGTCTTCAGAAAAGTTCCGATGGCATTTTCATTTGATCTGATAAAGTAGCGTTCATGAGCGGAGCTGCTGTGATTACAGCCATTACTGAGGAAACCGCTAGTTTTATCACTCTAAAAGCGCCTCCTGCTGGCGGAGAATGAGTTTGCATTTCAAATAAGCCGTCTCCAGCAACATTTCCAGTTTTTGTTGTTGTTCAATTTTTTTGTTTTCTGCAGCGACTCGGAGCACTTTTTATACCCTGTTTTCTGGCTGAAGCACATTTGTTTCAATCTATAAGAATAATCAG